TGCCCAGGCGGGTCTCGAACCCGTGGGCTCAGGCAATCCACTCACTTCAGCCTCCCAAAGGCACGGGATTACAGGCTAAGCCACCGAGCCCGGCTCATACACAATTTTTGAAACCCAGTGTGGATTTTACACTTAGCCCATCTCAGTTCAGACTAACCCCATTTCATGTACTGGACTCAGTACATTTGGCTAGTGGTACCAAGGGCACAGATAAAAAGGTTAGCGGAAGTTAACAAGCTACAACAATGCCTTGAAACATTCAACGGGTTAAAAGGTAAAATTAACCCTCTGCTTTTTAGATCAACTAATAAAAATCTTGAAGACTCCAGATGTTTCAGAATTGAGAATATTTCCGATTTTAGGCAGGTAAGGCAGAGTATACCCATATGTTATATAACATCCTCCATTGGAACTCTGGGGCAACATCATGTAATCCAATGCATTAATATTTAGTAAAATAAATACGAGAAATGGAATCTACAAAGACTTTAATTAGCCTTTTTTTTTTTTTTTTTTTTTTTGAGTTGGAGTCTCACTCTGTTGCTCAGACTGGAGTGCAGTGGCTGCTCCCGGTCACTGCAGCCCTGACTCGCTGGGCTCCGGCGATCCTTCCGCCTCAGCCTTCCAAGTAGCCGGAATTACAGGCATACGCTACCACGCCCTGCTGATTTTTTGATTTATTGTAGAGATGAGGTCTCTGCCCAGGTGGGTCTCGAACCTGCGGGCTCAGGCAATCCACTCACCTCAGCCTTCCAAAGGCGCGGGATTACAGGCTGAGCCACCGAGCCCGTCTTAGCCTCACATTTTAAGTTAAGGTTGGCACCAGATGAGTTTTGGTGTTAAATTTGGTTTTAAGTGTCAGTTTTCAGAACGGTTGCTTTTCAGAATTGTGGATAAGGGGAATATGCTATACAACTTCAGGTGCCAACTCTACCATTGATTGTAACTTGTTTCATCACCCATGAAGAAAAGGCCTACTTATTTTATAAGATTGATATAAGGTTCAAATCATTTAAATGAGATCCTATATAAATTCTTAGTAAGTTGTAAAGCATGATAGTAATATAGCTTTCTACTACCAGATTTTTTTAAAATTTTAGGACTGCTGGGCATGATGGCACCTATAATCTCAGCTATTTGGGAGGCTGAGGCAGGAGGACCACTTGAGCCCAGGAATCTGGAACTAGGATAGGCAATATAACAAGACCCTGTCTCATATTATTAAATAGAATAATAAAAATAGGACAGGTGAGGTGGCTCACACCTGTGATCCCAGAACATTGGGAGGCAGAGGCAAGAGGATTTCGAGAGCCCAAGGGTTTGAGGCCAGCCTGGGCAACTTGGCAAGATCTCGTCTCTGCAATAAATCAAAAAGTTAGCTGTGCATGGTGGTGCACACCTGTAGTTCTAGCTACTTGGAAGGCTGAGGTGGAAGGATTGCCCGAGCCCAGCAGGTCGAGGCTGTGGTGGCCATGAGTATGCCACTGTACTCCAGTCTGTGCAACAGAGTGACACTCCAACTCAAAAAAAAAAAAGTATACAGAGATTTCTGGAGTGTGCAGGCCACTGAGGTGGTTGTGTTGAACCCGGGACTCTAATGAGAGAGATCTAGAGACCACAAAGAGCCAGCTCCGATGCAAACACACGAGGGTCTTTATTCAGGCTCGAGTCTGGGCTCCCGCCTGAAGCAGTAGCTTCAGGGACCAGAGCCCCGATTCACAATGGCAAGCAGTTTTTATGCACAATTACAGAGGGAGGGGAAAGAACTCCAAACTTGATTTTACATGATTGGGTAATTTCTCCCAATGGGTACGGGAATACTTGGTATTGGTGGATGCTGCCCGTGATTGACAGAAACCCACGTAATGGGTCGAGTGAAATGTTAGATAAGTTAGGTCCATACAGTCTCTGCTTATGAAGTAATCTGAGCCGGCAGACAAAGGGTTACATTCGCCCTTTTAGTTTACCGATCCAGCCCAAGGCTTACTTAGGAAAGCTTGTTTGCTTAACCTTTACATCACATAACATAGTCATTATGGGACAACAAAAGCCAAACTTAACAAAGTTTTAAATATGAATGCTGCAAACACATACAGTGAATGTGGGGTAGAAAATCATATACTAATTCTGGGAATTATAATAGCAAGCTTATTATAGCAAGGGCGGTTACTTTTATAAAGGTCTTTG